TTCATCGTGGATTCAATGACAATACAGCCGGGTTTGATTGATCTTCTTGGTCTTAAGAGCATTTCAGGCAGAACTCCAGCATGAGAACAAAGTTTGAGGTTTTTTCCGTTTGCTCTGCATGTCATTATGTTTAAATTAAGTTAGGATGTGCTGTCATTTACATCCTCACTACAGTAGAAACCCTGTTTATAACCGTTTAAAATAATGACAAGAAATGTCTGATTTTACTCAACGCTTTGTGTTTCATGGATCAGTGGGATGCAGCAGAAGGCGATGAAGCATCCAAACACACAGCAGGTGCAAAATGATCCTACATATCAACAAATAAACAGATTGTGTTCTCGGTCGGGGGAAGAGCTTTTCCAGTAAACTTTTGCATGAAGTCTGTTGTTGTTGTTTTAATCGTGGATGAGTAGATTTCATGTGCGTTGTTGTTGTTTGGCCCACACATCTGCACTTACTCAACCACAGAGAAAAATGGGGAAATGTGGGCATGATAAACAAACGACATGCATGTGTGAGGGATATATATATATTTTTTTTAAGTGAATTAATCTGTGAGTCATCATCAGTGGCCGTCACACTGACGCTGTTTGGATTTTCACTTCATGTCACTTTTTTTTATGAGGCAGTGAGCCATGAGGTGAGCATGTTGGTGCTGTTGGGTGTTCTTAAAGATGTTACCGTGCTCCTTTGTGTTCTGCTCTCTAAGTCGCAGAGAGGTTAAGTTAGCAGGTAGCTGAAGGAGAGAGAGAGAGAGAGAGGAGGTGTCTCACCTGCTGCTTGTTTGGTGGAATCACCTGTTTAACTGCTGTTCTTTGTTACATTGTGAATGCCTCTGTTTGCATCAGGATGTTTATTTTTCAAGTCAACATTTTAACAATTAATACAAAACAAAGAGGCTGTTTTTCTCCTCTGATTTCCACCGTTAGAAACATCCCTTCCTTTCATGTGTTATTATTGAGCACAGTATTAATCATAGAATTTGTTCATAGAATCTAAACTAAAGGGGAATTTAGCACTTTTGTTGTCAAGGAAATTAAGAAATAATGATATTTGAATTTTAAAAATGAAATGTTTCATTTCATTCATTTTAATTTCTTATAAATAATTGAATCTCTGGATTAATTTCAGCTAATAAGGCGGTTTCGCAAGCATAAAGCGTGAATATTTCCAATAAATTGATGTAAAAACTTTATCAAAAATCTACAAAAAATTATCCTCAAATGTTGTCATGATAAAAAAAAGTTTTATATATACATAAACAGTTTAAACATGAATATACAAACAGATAATACGTAACTCAAACTGGAGACACAGGTGGAAAATTCACATTAAGCTACATGAATGTTTCCTTTCTTATATAATTAATTATTTTTTCTGTTTCTTTGGAGGCTTAAAAGAAACATTCTAAATTTGTGTATCCAATCAGATCATAAAAATCAGCATTTTTAATTTAATTCATTTTAATTAAATTTAAAAAAGGAGGATAGTTTTTTGTTCCTGTTTGGCAGCTGCAGACCTGCTGATGCAGGTGTGTTGTTGTCTCATGATGTTTGATTTGATCTCATCTCACATACCTGAACAAATCTTATCTAAAGGAACAAGTTTGGAAAATATGTGTTTAAAATATTTATCTTAGTTCCCTGCTTCACTTTTAGTTTCACTTTAAGCTCCCTGCCTCACATGACCATTGTTCTTCTGATTTACAGGTTTGGACACTCAGTGTTTGCTGTAAATTTAGAACATTTTTAAGCATTATTTTTGCATTATTTTTGTCTTGAAAATTAGGCACATTTTTGTCCCCATGTGTTACAGATTGTTCAGTAGGAACACTTTGTGAGATGTCTGACATATCTAAAGAAAATGGAGCTGACGTGCAGTTTAATTAGTCACCATGTTTGTTTCAAACAAACACTCAGACCTGCTGCTGTCATTTCACAACTCTTAACAAATTCCCCCTGCGACACTTTTCTTGTCATGCGGGACATGTTTCTCAGCCTCAGGATTGCCATGTTGATGTCGGTTAAATAATAAGAAGAACAAAAAAAAACCTCGAAGCTGCTATGATCGGACAGGCAGACACCCCGGGGTGCTGCCCGCCCGACACGGCTCCTTATAACGGGGATTTAATCAGTGAAAGGTGCGGTGATGAAGACGATGAGTCACTGATCGATCCTCACTGCAAAAAATGAACTCACATATTCTTTAATCTCCTCTATAAAACGCAGCTTTAACAAAAACAGAGCGGGAAACCCCGTTAGTATTTTTGTAGTTAATTTTGATTCTATTAATGCTCTCATTTCGGTATTTTTCGGGAATCTTTTCGAAGCATTTGTCAAATAAAACAAACACTGATAAAGGTGTAAAGTGTGCAGAAAACCGCGACCTTTAATGAATCAAAAGAAGTGGACTCTCTATCCCAGTCTCTGGAATTCATTTCAAATCAGTTAAAAGTTTCTTTTTAAATAAAAGAGGATTCAGAAATCGAAAAGTTTATACAATAATTGAACCCGACGGATATTTCTTGCAGTGTGCGCGCAAGAATTCCACCAAACTTCAAACGTCGGTATTTACTGCCCGTTTCCCACTCAGTACAGGTCTGAATGCATACTGTCGGAACGTTTTAAGTCTCTACCCTTCTGGGGCTTGTTCCGATTTGATTCTGATATGTTAATTAAATGCTTCCGGGACAGAAGACGCTGCTGCTGGGCGTGCTGTCTGAGAGGAGCCGCTGCGTCACTGCTCCGCTGCAGAAAAACAAAAACTCCCGACAGGTGTTTCAAACTTTCTTGACTAGTTATTTAGTCAGTGTTTGAGAGAGAGGAATAATCATTTTTAATGATTTAAGTACAGGTTTCTTATCAGCCTTATTGAAAAAAAATTAAATGGTGCAAAAGAACCTTACAACTTCACTCTTAAAAAGCTGAACTTTAACTGCAATTACATCCAATGTAGTCACTTTTTTTAGGATCATGTCCATGTGGACATTTGAAGCGCGTGCTGCTGTTGCTGGAGGCTGCATCATCAGTCTCTCGCTCCAGATGAGTCACGTGCCTGAAACATAGCAGAGGTAACCGTTGCCGACTGCAGCCTTCGGGGAGAATTATGGGGGATGATGCGGTGCGTAATTGCGCATCCCGGTGCGCCGGAGCAGCTGATGGCGCTGGATGAGGATGCAGATTTGGAGCACCTGCCCCTCCACCGAAGCTCCCAGTTTAGATATGCTTGATGAAAATAATTATTTTTAGATCAGAGGAAGCACAAGACTTAGTTTACATTTAATTAAAAATATTTACCGATTAATGTTTATTTTCCCCAAAAAATAGGAAATAATTTTAAAGATGAATAAAATCAAGTATGCAGGGTTTTTTTTTTTCCAACTGAAAGCATCTGCCTAAGAATTGAATAATTTACATTTACTTAATTGATAGTTTAATAACTTAACTGACTGATGAGGTGTTTTGTTAACATAATATGACAAATCTCTTTCAGACTTAACAGAGAATACAAACCTCCCCCTTATTCTTATCCTTTTTCAACACTACATATGACAATAAATGAATTTCAAGACAAAGTCGGAGCCACTTTTTCCGCGAACATCACTTCATCCAAACTTCAGTCCTATTTGGTGTCACATAGGACACTGTGATGAGCAGCAGCGACAGTCTTTAACGAGTAAGGCTGATAAATGACCACAGCAGTGTAGAGAGAGAGAGAGAGTGAGAGAGAGAGAGAGAGGAAGGTATAGTCTGCCCAGTAACAATCGCACAGCCTCGCTCGAGCGCTGAGGAACTATTGGCTATGCAAATAGACACAGGGAGGAGGAAACAACTTAGACTGGAAAAAAAAAACTTTAAAGAGACATTTCCCCCACTTTTCTCACAAGCATTTCTATACAGCTCGTGAGCCTGGGATGGAAATTAACAGCTCTAAAGCTCTGAGGACTTTACAGTTCCCAGTCTTCCCCTGACGCGCTCGAGTCTCGTTTCATTCAGAGCTCCGTCTTTGAAGTTGACTAAGAATATGGAGGGGGATTAACATATTTACACATGCAGATTCTCTTTGTGACTGTACGTGAGGCTAAATCTTTTGGCAGTCATTTTTTTAATTATCTGCTCAATGACTTACACTCAGCTTCGTTTCCACCTGCTTCATTTTCCATCCCAAAGCTTGATTTGGAAAAGTTTGGTTTTTTTGCGCATCAGAGCAGAATAGTAACGTTGGTTTAAAATATTTTGTGAGCAGTGAGTCTCATCTTTGTGTCATTTTTGACTAAAGATTGTGCGAAGAAAAAAAAAACCTTTATCGCTGCTTTAGATTTCCTAGAAAGCTATCTCACAAACCACAAGCTGTTTGTGGCTGCAGTGCAAAAAATAAAGTTCGTACAAAACGTGTGTGTCCACGCGCGCGTGTGCGTTTTTGTCTTTCGTTTGTCTCTGTGTGGGTGATGTGCGCGTGTCCGTGCGCGCGCATGTTTCTGTAAGTTAGTATGCATATGTTTCTGGCCACATGCATCCTGCTCCGCGCTGAGCTGTCCATCAGGCTGCTATAACCAGAAACAAACACATAAGAGTCACTTCTTTCTTTCTGATTCAAACTTCAAGTTGGTGCCAAATGCCAGAAATGGGCTACAAAACAATAAATCAATACATGAGGCATTCATTTATCTATTTTTTATTTTATTTTTTTTACATTGAATGTTAATGGATGTAGTTTGTCAATCATTCTTTAAAACAATGACGCACATAAACCCCCCATTTACATGAAGCACTATGTTCAAAATGTGTTTTAATCACTATAAAATATCCAAATGATTCACATATTTTGTTTATTTCTGTCTAAGGATAGTCTACGAATGCGAAAAAAATAAAAAACTTTTTTAAGATGGATTTTTTTAAATGCGCATTTCACTCTTTGTCGTCCATCTACTTTGGGACGTATGCATGCCTTTAACATTTAGAAATGAAACAGGTTTTCTGAGAGTTGACGTGCATGCCAGGCCAAATAAAGAAGGACAGCAGTGCAGCATGTTGCGTCTGCTCTATACAGAGGTAACTGCGTCAGTGCGCATGCAGGGCAGGCTTGAAATTCGCCTGATCTGTCGAGGCGGATGAAAGTAGAGGCTCGCTTTGGGGAGAGAGGAAAAAGTTCTCAACAAGGAGAGGCAGGACTACTCTGACGGAGCCCTGCAGTCTCACTTTTATGCCTCTAAATACTTTCCCTGCCATCTTTTTTTGCGTTGTTTTGTTTGCTCTTTAACGCCGTTTTGACGCTTCCGAGAGAGATTTCCTACTTTTTGACTTAAGTGAAAGCAGCAGCACCATGGAGCTGCTCTGCCTCGAAATGGACACCATCATACGAGCTCGTCCCGATCCAAACCTCCTGTGCGATGACAGAGTCCTGCAGAGCTTGTTGACCATAGAGGAGAGGTTTCTACCGCAGTATTCTTATTTCAAAGGCGTCCAGAAAGATATCCAGCCGTTTATGAGGAGGATGGTCGCGACTTGGATGTTGGAGGTATACCGAAACACCGAGTGCTGACAAGTCGTCTTATTTCCGTGCTCGACTTTAAAGCCCCTTATTTCTTTCTTACTGATTTGCTGTTTGCAATTTCCAGACACTAGATCATGCTTAATGCTGTCATTTCCGACCGCTTATTCCTCATATTTACCAAATGTGTCGCTTTCTGTTATTTCTTCCCGATTTTTAAGTCCGCTCATGAACGCTGTTTTCATGAAACTTGTAGCTGTGAAATCTGTGACACCGGAGAATTTCTTCTATGTGCCTCACATGTTGTCTGCACGAGCTGCTCACTGCTTATTTAATGTTATTATTTTAGATAGGCTGAATATTTCCATGCACACGTATGCACTCCCCAATGCAATGCTGCCCCTCGCCATGTTGTTTTTTTTACAGGAGCGCTCGCGCTTTTAAGAGGACTTAACAGTGTCATAAAGGCAATAACAGCGACTGAAAGACATTGGGAATGACAGAGGGGCTTCTCTGGTGTCCGATGAATATAAAAATGATCAGAAAAAGCGATGCAAACCTTTTAGGTTTCTGTTTAAAATGTCCGAAGGGACGAGGGCCTTATCGGTGCTTCAGGTCTGCACCCTGTCGCAAAGCCTCTCTCTGGAATTATGTTCCATTTTTGACACTAAATCTAATATTTATGAGCAATATGCACCTGTACGGAATCCAGAGCCTCTGAGCTTTATTTTCATATAATTATTGTAGGGGTTCCTCTCACTGGGTATTTTTAATTAATTTTTGAAATAAATATATCGGATCGGCGGTGACGCACATCACCCCAGCCTCTTGCTACTCCTCTTTTATTTTGACATTTTATTTATATTTATCGGCTCTGGATTTCGATCCGAATTGTCGGGTATGATGTGGTAAAGACCCCTGAACATTATCGTGTGAAGAAAATCAGTCCACATAATTTATTTGTATTTTTAATTATTTTATGAAAATATGACGAATGACAAAAAAAACGTGTTTCCGTGTGCTGCGCTGTCGGGGTGTTTTTTTGGCTCGGCTGATTGTGACTTGAATTCATTTCTTGGTGAATGAACTGCAGGAATGTGACTCTATTGACAGTTTGTGTTTGACATTTATTCCATTCTTTGTTTAAGAATCTATTTCTAATTAATGGATGATGTCGCAACAGATTAGGGCTGGGCGCAGATTCTTGGCCGGGCCCCAACTATGTGTGTCATTGAATTTATATGTGCTCTTTATATGATTCCACTTTTGTTTCTTTCTCTCATAAAAACTTTTATATACATTTCATGTTCTGGAAAATACGTCAGGTCACTGCAGGGTGGGTGACTGAATCCAAACGCTGAACATTGCTGCATTGTCTGCTCTCTCTCTCTCTCTCTCTCTCTCTCTCTCTCTCTCTCTCTCTCTCGGCCTCTCTCTCTCTCTGCAGGTTTGTGAGGAGCAGAAGTGCGAGGAAGAAGTTTTTCCCTTGGCCATGAACTACTTAGACAGATTTCTAGCCGTGGTACCCACCAAAAAGTGTAACCTGCAGCTGCTGGGAGCAGTCTGCATGTTTCTTGCATCCAAATTGAAAGAGACTCGTCCATTAACAGCAGAGAAGCTTTGCATCTACACAGATAACTCCATCAGACCCCAGGAGCTGCTGGTAAGCAACAGTTGGTTCAACACATTTTAAATTATTCACAGTGGCACTTCTGAGGGTTCCTTTTGTCATCGTCAGCTAAAGCCAACAAAAGTCATGGTTTATTTTAGGCAGTTTTTTTCGACATGTTTGCTTTGGACAGCAGGGGTTATTTCTGATATTTTGCTTTAAAAACAATTTTATTTTATTCATTCAAGATGAAAAAATGCTCACAGTAGACTCAGACCTCTGTCACCTCACTGATCTGTAGTTCTGCCTCCACTTTGCACTGCAGCGTCATCAGAGGTGCACTGAAAGCGACAGCCTCAGGCTGAATTGTTCCACAAGTGCTCTCTTTACTGTACAAGAGACCCTGTGGGTTTTTACAGTATCAGTCCACTCTGTGTGACGGTCTCCATCGCCATCTGGTGGCAGATATTTCCACAGGAGCAACGAGGTCAGCTTGAACTCCAGCCAAAGCTCTGACTCTGTTCCTGTCAGCGAGAGAGCGAGAGACACAGAGAAATTCAAGTTTGCCTTTTACAGTTCAGCTTTCATCCAAAAATAACCAGGGATGCACACATTTCTGATATTATGTCATGCTGCACTATTTCTGTCTCTTGCGGTTTTTTACAGAGCTGATATGCATTTTTCAATCCAAAATAATTCTGCTAAATATGATTCAGGGATGATTTTGTGTCATTTGGAGAAAAAGAAAAATGTATTTCCTCTTTGAGTTTAGTTTAGCATCTTTGGCACGATCACACCAGCTGCCTTCACCAGTGCAAACCAATTAATTAACTCAGTTTCCCATCAGATAAGTGTTTCCCCACTGCTCTGTGGTGCTACATAAACATTCCTCGGTAAACAACAGCCAATCCCACCCATGTTGTGAAAGAGGCCACATATTCTGAATCAGACATGGCTCATGGTTGCAGGCCTGCCTTGCTGCTCAGAGGTCTGTCTGAGCTGCTGTCACTTTTTGATGTTTTCTGATCACTTTCTTCGATGGATTTGTCTTTGGGGTTGTTGTGTCGGCTTTCATTTCCCCACTCTCAGCGATTGCTTTAAAGTTTTTTTTATCTCTATAGATTTAAAAAAGTACACAGAGAATGTGTTATTAAGAGAAATAGCTGCACTTTCTAAAACATTTTGAAGTAAACTGAGTGCGTCTACCTTTATGCTCAGTCTGAGACAAAGCCCTCAGTCCTTGAACTGTTTAGCCGGGGCCTCATCTCTCTATTTCTGTATAAGGCAGTATTTTGGCTGACATGCAGATACAGGAAACAGAGATCAGCTGCTCAGGGCATGTGATCGTTTTTTTGTCCTCGTCTTTGGTAACAATTTCTTGTAAAGAGAACCGCAATGTTACAAAGAAGGTGTGACCAGAGGAAGGCAGTAGCAGAAGGAAGTGGGTGCCTGCCTGCCTGCCTGCCTGCCACTCTGTCAGCACAGAGAATGTGTTGCAAGGCTGGTAGCTCTTACTGCGCTTGAGTCTCGCTCCCTGGCACTGATGGAAAAGGTTTTCACAGATCAGGAGGCAGTCAACACTGACCACTGCTGGTCAGTAGAGCCTTTTTCACACATGCACTCTTGAAAATCTTCTAGAAAATTTCAGGACAAGCTTCATCTAAAATCTTATCGACTTGTTTGTTTGTATTATGCACTTCACATTGGAGACCGTCACCTGCTGGCAGGAGGGTGGGGGATCTCAAAAGGCAGGACATGACGTGAAAAGGAAAACTTAGAAATGGTGAAAAAAGCAACTGAGCCTGACAATATAATGAATGGTTTTTGCCTGGGCATCAATAGTACATGTAATGGGGTGTGTTTACAGTGTGAACAAATGAGTGGTAAAGAATATACCTGCAAGCAGAAAACAGTATGAAGCAGCCTCACTTCATGCACAATACTCGCACCGATGGCTCACCGGTCACATGATTTGATGTCATCAACCCCTCCCAATCGCTTGCGGGGACTAAATATATCGTGCAGCGTTCATACTTTGGCTCATCCCAACTTCATGCAGAAATGCTGCTAGAGGTGGCAGGAAAAGGATTGGCTGAAAAATGTGTCTGTTAGTGTTCACACATGCAGCTCAAGAAGGATAGTTTTTCCGGAGCTTGTGCAAGTGGGAAAACAACTTGCATTTGATCAAATTATAGATTGTTTGAGATCCTGGTTGCAGTGTCTTAAAGCAAGCAGAGGAAGATGCCTTTACCTTTAAACCAGAGGACTGATTGGACTGGACCTTTCAGTCCTATATCCACACCCCTTACATCCAAAAAGACCAGAAAGCATAACAAAGCTGATCTAAGGTGGCTGTGATTAAAATATTGCAAGCTGGCAGCAGCAGCAGCCATGTTGAATTGTCTCATGACTGAGTCCATGTGCTCTCTCTCACTCTCTCTCTCTCCCTCTCTCTCTCTCTCCGTGAAAGGGAAAATGAAGAGCATCCATAGCCCGAGTCACAAGGCTTCAGTCCGGAACCAAACCACGACATTTTTTCCCAAATTAGTCACCAACTCTTCTGTTAATCACCTCCTCCTCGAACAAGTGAAAGTAACAAAACGCTCAAAAAGAGGAGAACGCCACACCTAGTGCTCCTCACACACACACACTCACACACACTCATCTAAATTTGCATGTGTCATCACATTTGCAAATACAGTAAGGCTATTTAAAAAATACTTGAAGTAAAGAGCAGTAAGTGAATCCACAGCTCTTCAGGTGCCTGAGTGCTAGAAATATGATGTATTTGAAATAAAGTCTTCATCGTCAGCTCAAAGGGAAAATTTAAAATCATCACTTTACCTGAATTGGCAGCAAAACAAAAGATGCAGTATCTAAAATAATCCCATTACTTGTTGCAACACAAAATACAGATTTTTCCTAGTTTAAATGATTGAATGATGAAGTGGAGAGATGAGATTAGGGACTGAAATTCTGTGTAAGTTTTTTAATGTATAACAGATTTATGGCTGATTATGTTCAACAAGCACAGCACTCCTATCCATTTTCTCTCTACAATCTCTCTCTCTCTCACACACACACATATGAAGACCTGCATGCACACACACACACACACACACACACACACACACACACACACACACACAGTTGAACCTCTGGTGGGCCTCTTTAGGAAAGTCCCCAGATGCCAGACAGGCAGACGGAGAGAGGGAGACGGTGCTGTGAGGTCACCTGGTGGTGCTGCTGGTGTTTCTCTGTCCCAGGCTCGGCCAAGCAGAGACTAATGTAATAACAATAATGCTTAACCTCCACACATACTGATGTACGGGGGGCCAGGGGCCTACAGAGACCATTTTGAGCCGCACTGTCACTGGTTGAACAGCTGACGTTAAATGCAGCAGTGTGAGAGGGTAAAACCTGAGTCTAAAATCTTTAAAACAGACAGAAAGCAGAGGAGGTGACAGCCTTGCAAATGTAAACGTCTGCAGTTTATACAGTTTTAAGGAGTTTGCCAGCAATGTTTGGTTATTAAAAACAAGTAATTGGTCAATATTAAGTGCCAAGGACTTATATTTGTGTAGCTGTGGCATGGAACTGATATTGTTCCCCTTTTACTATAACTGTATCAAAGTTCAAAATTCTCGAATTATGACAACCCTAATGGTTACAACATGTAAAAAAGTGCTCTCTCTCTCTCGCTCTCTCTCTCTCTCTCTCTCTCTCTCTGTCTCTCTCTCTCTCTCTCTCTTTAGGAATGGGAACTGGTGGTGTTGGGGAAGTTGAAGTGGAACTTGGCAGCAGTAACGCCGAACGACTTCATCGAGCACATTGTGAGGAGGCTGCCGCTGCCCAAGGATAAGCTGGCACTTATACGCAAGCATGTCCAAACCTTCATCGCCCTGTGTGCCACAGGTAGGATATGACGGGAGCGACACATTCACTGTCCTGTTTGAATAACACCTGTTTTAATTGAATCCAAAAGATCAGCGGGCAGAGAGCAGTGTCATCTCAACACTGTATCTCTTTTTTTCTTTTGGTGTTGCAAGTGTCACTGATTACGGAGGAGCTGCCAAGCAATAATAGCTTGCATCAACACACTTTCTCATATTGCAAAATATCTGTGTCTGCACGTTCCTCTTTCAGCGCAGAATCAAAGCTGTCTCTCTCAATAACATGCAGCGACAACTCTGTTCAGAGGTGTGCTGTGGGCCAGTCGCAGCCCGCCGGAACTTAACTGAAATGTGTTACCTCCAATTGGAAAAAAATTCTGCCTAGGAAAAGTGTCAAGAAAGACATTTCAGCGTCAGCCTCTTAGGACTGACGTCTACCATTTGTCTTCTCCCGGTTGGTATGTGGCCATGTTTTAAAAGGCCTATCAGTGACTTAAAGAGCATCCAGTAACACTTCAAAGCAAACTGAGCCTGGTTGAGGGGCGTTCCCATGTCACGCAGGGTCGAGAAGAGGAACGGACAGGGGAGGAGGCAGGCATGCTATTGTCTCTCATGCTCTTGAGGTGAATTGTTCCCTCGAGATCAAACATTCAGCGAGTGGTGGGAGGGACAGGGGGAGCCTTCAACGTGATCTGATGAAGTCGAGACAGTAGAAGGGTGCGAGGGGGAGCGGGGAGTGAGGGAAAGCCGGAGGAGTGTATTGTTTTTGCACTGCCCAATCCTAAGGCATGTCATGTTTTCATATCTCTTTCCCCGCCGCCTTCCTTCCCTCTTTCTCTCCCCCTTCACTTCTCACGCCTCCCCGCCCTACAGCTGGAGGACATGATAGCTTTCCCATGTTAGGATTCTCTTCAGGGCAGGTTTCTCCTGTTTGCGTCACCTCCAACTCCACGTTCCAACAGGACAGGGGTTCTTATCCTAAAACGTCCCAAAGGAATTATCTTAACATAAATGAGGAAATTACACAATTCACCCACAGAGAGAGGCTGTTTGACACTCCTTTCTTTCTCACTTTCTGGGTAACCCCCACCAGCAGCGGCTTCCTTTTTCTGCAGGCCTCCAACAGGAATGCTAACTACACCCCCTCATGGGAAATGGCTCCCTGTGCTGACATCATTCAGAGGAGTGTGTGTATGGTTCGATGAATAGATTCAAGGGAGGTGACAGGTATTTACAACAAAAAGTCATGGCATTCCCTGCACTGTTTTTGCAATGGATATGATAGGGTGAGAAACATTTTCCGACACAAGTTTGCAAAGTTTTGAAAGGACACGCCCGTTTCTTTCAGTGTTTTTCTGCGTCAGCCTTTCCTACACTCTCTCCTCTCTTCCATCTCTTGCTCTCCCTCTCTGACCCTGAATCTATCACCCCTTATTTTGTGCCAATGGATTAACATGTGGAATGACAGCGTGTCAGTGATCAGACATATTCCCAAAGCAACATTGTGAAAGACTCAGCATGCACTTTGTCCTTAATTGCTTCAATGAGGCAGTGGAATTAGATTTACGAGCCTCCTGGAGTCGTCCTCCTGACAGCATGTTTTAGGGGAGAGACTTTCTGCAGATAGCTCTGGATTAGCAACAGGTCATTCATCTGTGAATGTTCTCCTCAGACTTGTATCCAGGCAAACAGAGAGCGAGGGCAACACAGAGAGAGAGAGCGAGTGAGTCAACAATTTGGTGCATCTGAAGATCTCTGGGAATTCGAAACCCCATTTGGTGGAACGTTCCCAGCCGTAAATCTTCGGGTTATCTGGTGAGAAACCTCCTTGAGACATCCTCTGAGCTGAGAAGGTAAAGATGCAGCAGAAGGAAGAGGTCTCTCAGGAGGATTTACATTTGCAAGACAGTTGACAACGGGTCACCTGTGGCCTTCCTATTTCATACAGTCTCATTCAACCCACCACCCACCACTACTCCCACCACTGCCGCCCCTATTCTGAAAAAGAAAACACGCATAAAACCACGGCTCTCTGTTTTCAAGGGAACAAGAGAGAGAAGAGGAGAAGTGGAGAATGAGGCCTCTCATTCCTAATGGCTCCTCTCTTTTGATGAAACAGTTCCGTTCGGGCCACTCAGTGGGATTTTGTCAGGTGGCGCAGGCTGGCTCTGTATTAATTAATAACATTGGCTGGTCCTTTCAGGACTATGCAAATGGCTCAGGAGCTAAGCTAGAGGCTGGGAGAAAGGAGACAAAAGGCTTGGCCCTTACATTTCATATGCAGAGCCATGCGAGGGTCAGCGCCGCAGGGCCACTTGATAGGAAACACCAGCGTTTCCCTCAGGCAGCCCGCCGGATAATAGCCCAGAAACAAGCTCATTAAGGGAGATTATGAACCTCCATTCCTGCACACAGACACCAAGCACTCCGAGCTTCCTCTTCTATTCTTATTCAATCGAGGTAAAGTGGGAGAATGGACGGGGTGCATGGGGCAGACAGATGCACCCCAACCTGTCTGCTGCAGTTATTGAGCTCCGTCTTCTCGCCATATTGGCAGGGATTATGGTCCATTTATTTCATACCGACTCCAATAGCCCTCTCTGTAATGGTATGGATGGAATGGTGACAATAGTCATAGAAGTTGATCAAAAGAAAACTCTGGACTGGGTCCAACATTGCTCTCCAAGAAAGAGTCAATTGTCCCGGAGGACACAATGACGACTTTGCTACAAGTCTGGATGTAAATCACAAGAGGTTTAAATAATGAAGTACTCGATTTTCTTAAATCTCAGAGTAGTTTGTGATTATTTTTTTGAATTGTCTGTGTCTGTGTGAGGGGATTTGATGATTAACTGGTTAGTTCCGAACACAAACTAATGATTCACCGACTGACAAAACGAGAGGCAGAGCTGTGCAGCATGGGTTGTAAAACATCACTTTTTATTTGTTTCTTTTGTGAACTGTTTAATGCAGCTCCAAGCCCTAAAGGAGGTTTAAGAACCTGCATATTTTATCTTTTGTACATTAGTTTAGACATTTAAATCGGCTAAGATGAGCTATGCAGAGCTTGTATCAGAGCCCAAACGACTTTGGTTTGTTCTGTGATTTTTTTCTGTTTCTCCACCGGTCTCCAAGCTGTGTGCCTCAAATTCTTGAGGTTTCTTTGTATATACAGGAAGAGACATACTATTTTCAAACTTGCCCATTTTCATTCAACAGTCAAATATTCTAAAATGACTCATCAAGGCCTTTCTTCATGGGAGCTGTCTCGCTGGTCCAGAGGCAGGAATGCTCCATGCAGCTTCCTCTCCTCTCCTGGCTGCTGCACGGAGAATCCCCTCCAGGCTCAGCTCCTCATTCTGGAGATGAATGATTCATCTCAGATGTGGTCAATGAAATGGTCTTTACTGGTGTTTGTTTACATAAAAATCCCCTTCATGTTCGATGAGTCAGAACCCCCGACAAATTGCCCACCTCCTCCATCAAATTATCGTCTCTCCACACGCTGCACTGATGTGAGGAGTCATGTCCGGTCAGGCTGCATCGTCAACATTCAAGGCAGGAAGAAGTTCGCTCAAAGTATGCACCCAAATATGTGACACACAGGGTGAATCATCGAGTGGCATGTCCTGAGTTTCCCCCTTCTTCACCTCACTGGTGTAATCAGCACCATGCTTTAGATACTGTGGCCAGCTGAGTCACAACAGACTCACAAAGACAAAGATTTTTCATGTAGATTCTTCGACTATCCAACCTTAGAGGATGAGCAATCAGAATGCTTTTAAGCTTACATGTTTACCCTGGAATTCAGGTTAACCAAGACTAATGTTTGTTATATGAGGTAAAGTAAATGTGGCAGCTAGCTTGACCTGAACCTTTTTTTGTCATGACAATCCCAAAGTCCTCAAACTACTTTTCCTGATTGTTCCTCATCCTGAGTGTTGAATCACTTCTGCTAAGCTTCTTATTTTGTCTTATTTATACCAGCAGAGATAAACACAAGAAGAGAGGGAATGGTTTTAGATTTAAAGGAAGCACAAATATTGTTACCAATATATGCTTTTCCCGTGGGTGAGAAGTGATTTTTTTTTTCCCTGCATCCTACCTTTGATCTGGTCCACATCTGAGTGCTCACTCATCGCTGACGTCACCACCTCCATGAGGCTGCAGCTGCTACATCGGAGATGATGGTGCAAGACATAAGAGGGATGTCACAGGGTGCTACAGTTAATGAGGAATTCTGTTTTTTTGGCAAATGAGTTTCAATTACTTTGAGTTTGAAGAGGGTGCGTGACTCAGCCTCTCCCACATTTAGTTTTTTCCGTTTGTCTCCAGAGTGACAGTCTGGAACGAGAGCCAATGGAATATGTCAGATAGCGGCGGTATCAAGTTATCTCAATCAGCGATTTCCCCCTTTGTTACATGTGGAAAAAATTCTCGTGTCCAGTTGTTGTTGGGTGTCTCTACACAAGGTGTACAGCCTGAGCAGTCTCCACAGACCTTGTTTTGACTACCAGGCTGTGTTGCATTAGTGGTGAAACATACTGTCATGCCAATCCCAAAATGATGTTTGTTTATGGCCTTAATCAGTCAACGTGCCCCGGGTCCTCGTAATGCTGCTCCCTTTATAAACAAGGTCAATACGCTCTACACGTATAGAATACAAGACCCTGATTTATTGCGCTGGAAAGCGAGGAGAGGGTGAGAAGGAGGGCTTTTGGCTGTTTTTCTTTCTTGTTTTGGCTGTTGTTCAACTTTCCAACTTTAATTAATTTACAAGTTTAATGTGCACACTGTGCATTGCAGCCACCCAGGAGGAGTGGGCCATGTAGGGGCAGCAGACTGTGTGACCAGAGGCCTGAAGATGAAGTTTCAGGGGGTTAGGAGCACGGAGGAATGGAGATGAGGGGGCGCAGGGAGGAGAAAGGGCCATTGAAGGGGGTGAGAGGCGTGCGGGCCAGGCCAGCCAGCCGCTGCTCACAGGGAGCTTTCCATCGCAGGCGTCCCCACTCAGCTACATAC